CCCCAAAACCCCAAAACCCCAAAACCCCAGTGCGCAAATTTTGTCAAATTGTAAGTGAATTGTAATTAATAATAAAGTTTTATTAATTGGTGCGTAAGTTTACTGACACTAATATAATGTCTAGAGAAAAAATGAGAATAAAAATACGCAAGTACGCCGACTCTCAATTCAAGATATTAGTTTTCAATCAGGAAGAGGAGACTCTTGCTTCCCTGATGGAAAAAATTCAAACTAAGCTTTACCTACCAACTTCTTATCAAACTCTAATACTTGAGGGTGGCGGGAAAATTGAAGATGTTAATGAAATAGTATTTGATGACAAAGTTGAAATAATTGATGACACACCCTCACAATAGCCAGCACTAAACAATCATTAAAATTCCTGATCTCATTCTCAAACCTACTAGCATTAGTATGAGTAGGTTAAATCTTAACAAGATTATGATTAGTTGAAACCAATAAAGCAGTTTATGCACACTGAAAATTGAACTCCTTTTAAGTTCTATAATGAATTCTAGCCTAATTCTAAATAAAATGACTCTTTGTCGAATTTTATGACCTATCACAACGCATAGCGTTCTTTAATGAACTTTGAATAGACAGATACTCATTTTACACAGAATGACATGAGATACCCATCAATTTAGCAGATAAATCAGACTGATTAATTGTAATTACCAATTAAAAGAGAGCTAAATTTCACTGGAATTACGAATAAAAACTATCAACAGCAACAACAACTTTAATTACCTTAATCTTAATATTCCAGTAATCTAGAATAACTGTAAGCTCCATTCCAAAATATTTTGCGGGATCCACCAAAACTTGTTGCTGTGGTAAATAATCCTGAAAATTCTCAAAAGGTCTGCTCGTAATAGAGTATAAATTAGATACAGTAACATTAGTAGAACTTTTAATATGAAATGCTATAACAGTAGTAGTAAGAAGAATAAGATTAATAAGAGATAATCAATGAGGAAAAATGTGACAATAGTTTTGATGCTCAATAACTTTATTGTAACGAGAGCTTGCCATCATTCTAGCTAGATGATTCTGAAAAAATATAAAATGATGATGTTAAATAAGAGCAATAGCAGTAGATATAGTTAATGGGCCAAAATTAAAGCTATCAAACTCATGAATAATAAATTGACCACTCTATATTTAAGTTGGAAAACTTTATCCCATATCCCTCTATAATTCCCCTTCAACCTTTATAATTCCAAATGCCTATGATGGACTATCAAGCTGACAACTAGTAGATGATAAGAGATTCGTAATTGCATATGCAATAGTAACAGCAATAGTAAATACAAAATCTCAAGTAATAGTCTTAGCAGTAATAGTAATAATATTTGACCAAGTTAGAGAAAGATAATCACGGAAATGTAAGAAGTAAGATCGAATATTACCTTAAATTTTATAGTTGATATCGATGTGTCCTACCTAAAGACCTTAAATTTCAAGGATGTAAAGGAGATTAGGGAGAAGATAGATGATATTTTTGCGCCATAAAATATCAAAATGATTTCAAAAAGAGCTGAGAGACATTATCCAAATGGTTAGTATTCAAATGCATAAAAAATTTATTAACAATATAATTTAGGCTACTGCGTCTATGTGCTCTACTGTAATAGATGCTAGAAAAGAAACCCTACCTATAAAAGGACTAAGTAATATACAAAAAGATCGACAAACTGCCCATTTCATATGAAATTTACAAAGACGGATGATGAACTCTACTCTCTTCATGATGGCGAGTTTTATCACAATCATGAATTGAGTATACCAGTGCTTGACCCAGAGATATTACTAGAGTTGGATAACTTTGATCCTACTCAGCATAAGCCTGCTCACATTAAGAAGTTCATAAATGAAAAATTTAAGAAAGACATATCCTATGCTTAGATAGCATATGAAATGAATAAAAGAAAGCAAAAGATTATGGGGAAAACAAAGGATGATACAAAGAAACTCAAAGAACTAATAGAGTTGCAGAAAGATGGTAAATTTAAGATGTACCAAGATAAAGAAGGGAATTTGAGTCGTATTTTGTATAGTAGTGATCGAATGTAAAATAACTATTGAATATTCAATGATGTTGTCATGGTTGATGTAACTTATAAAACAAATAGGTATGTAATCCCTTTCATTATCATTTACTCACTCTGATAATTCTTTGATCGTCTTAATATAGGTTCAACCTGCCTGCATTTTTGATAGTTGGAATAGATCAGCATGGAAAGAACAGACTTTTTGCATTTGGACTACTCCAGAATGAGACAACAGAGGACTATGTCTGGGTTTTTAGAAAATTCAGCGAAATAATGGAAGATCTTAAGCCTCTAGTTATTATAACTGATTAGTGCGCCAAACTTACAGCTGCTATTCAATAAGTTTATTAGGATTAGGTGATTCATAAATTTTGTGGTTGGCATGTACAGTAGAATTTGAAGAAGAAGATTTCTTCAGCTCTAGTTAAAAATGAGGACTTAATACTAAAAAAGTGAATCTGCGATCTTCCGTTCGTTAAATCCTAATAAATATTTGAAGAAACATTTCAAATTATCTTTTAAAATGAACTAATTTCACCCAAGCTTAAATAATACTTTTAAAGAATTTACGTAAAGAAAAAATAATGGGCTAGATGCTATAATTTAGATATTTTTACTGCTGGAATTCATACTAATGCTAGAATAGAGAGTTATAATTCAGTAATTAAAAGATTTTTGAACTGGTCGACTCCGATTAATTATTTCTTTAAAGCTATAGAAGAGTACGAAAATACCCAGATTTTGCAAACTAAGCTACTTGAGAACAAAGAGTAAAATAAATTACTTTAGGATAAAAATAACAAACATTTAATTCATCCCTGTTTTATTAAGTGGGAGGGTAAGTATAGTGACTTTGCCATTAAGAACATGAAGAAGTAATATCTGAAATCTTTGAATTTAGAAATCAAAGAGGAACAGGATAATTTTATTGTGTGGAATCGAAAATTCAATTTTGAGAATTCAGTTAAATAAAGCATTACTATTGAAGATCCTAAAATTAAATGTACTTGTAAGTATTGAAGTCAATTTATAGATGAATCTTAGCATTCGCACTTAAATATAGTTTGACTATTTATTGCAATTATGATTTATTTGATCTTTACATTAATTAGGTAAATATCAGGTAAACATGGGGTTTTGGGGTTTTGGGGTTTTGGGG